AAAAAGTAGTCCTCCTTCTAAAGATTCTCGTAGAAATCCTTTGCTGCTTCTCTCAAAGCTTCATTCCCAGTGATGTTTTTTCCATCTATGTGCAGCTTCTCCACATAATTGATTCTTCTTCTATGGTTAGCAAGAGAATGGAAAAACTTGGTGTTCTTATCCCCTTCTTTAAACCATTTTTCCCTGGATTTTTGCTTCCAGGATATTGCTTCCATATGAAGCTTGTTGGCCAGGTCAACCCTCAGCTAATTTCTCCTAGATTTCTCATCCAAATTAAGACCTGTAGCACCCTCAAGTTTGTCAAGCATGTTAAGCTCCACCATGATCTCATTAATGTTTCATTCCCTCCTTGAGATCAACTTCCTTGGTCCATTTTTTGATCTTGGCTTTCAGCGCTTTGCGTTAGGAGGCAATTTTGAAACTTTGTGGCTCTGGGTGTTGTTGGAAACAAATGCAAGGAAATTTAAGGATAATTCTTCCCTTTTTTGTTTCTTTTGGATAGGATGTTTTTCTCCATGCTTGTTGGCTGAGGTGCTCTATAAGGATATATCTTTACCTGTTTTTAGCTGGCTGTTTTTTGTTAAGTTCCTTTGTTGCCTCGTTCTTTCTTCTTTTTTTCGTTCTCTTGGAAGACTGCCAGTCTTCTGATGTGATCTTTTTGTCTCTCTAATACTTCTTTTTTCTCTTGGAAAAATATAAAATTATGGAGATTTCTTAATTAGATATTACAAATTTCACAATGTCTTGAAGCTTATCTTTGTTTCAAAAAAGTTTAGTTGATTGCTACAGGTGGTGATTATTTTGCATCTTTTGCAGGGAAGATTCCCCTGTAAGTACTTTTCGTCCTCGTCCTCGACCGCTCTTCCAATATCGTCACTATAGGTAAAAAAACTGAGAATCTTTCATCTTTTTAGTTGAAGAAATTTAAGTAATTTTTGCAAATTATTCTTTTGCTTTCTTCTAAATTTTTTTTTATGTTAATCAGTGAACAGCAGCCTTTACGCTTGAATCCTGCTGAGGTCTGTGAAGTTATTGCTGCAGTTTGCTCCGAGACATATTTTCCAAATGCTAATGTCATGACCGTATCATCTCGAAAGCCATCAGTTGATGTGGCTGTGAGCGTCCTTATTAAGCTTGTTATTGACATGTATGTAGCTACTTGATTCTATAATTTCAGTCCATTGTTGTATCTCATGTCTTTTAACTTGCTGCTTCCTATCCCTTGGCATTTAGAGGCACACATGAGTTCATACAAGTACTTGGTTTCTTGTAATTTTACATATAGGAGCTGTATGTATGCAAAAAATGTGTGAACACCCTCCAAACACAAAGGTCTGAAGGCATAGCAGTCTTGCAACTTTCACCATTTTTCTGCTATTTCATAGATACTTTAACATCTTCCACCAGGGCATAACCATCTACGTACAATGGTCTTAAAACATCATCCACATACAGTGGATGCTTGTTTCCTCAGATACTCCCTTCCGTTGTAATGATTGTCGTGCTTGAGTATTCACCATCTTTTTTACCGAAGATGTATATAATTTATTGTCACTTGGATTTATTTAGCTTTGCACTTGCATCTTGACTTACCATTAACAGTAGATATGGGGTGTATACATTTTGTTTAACATCTTTCTAATGTATTATCTTGTAGATGTCTCAACTCTATATTCTGTCCAGGAAAACTCTTCTGTGGCATCACGCCATTTGTTTGCTTTTCCTTTTGCCCACTTTTATATTGGCTGATAAATTAACATATTGGAATGTTTTGGAAACTTTTATTGTAGGTATGTCTTGGATTCTGGGACTGCTGCTCCTCTCACACTTTCTATGCTTGAGGTGCTTTCCCTTTTGTGTACTTTTTTTGATTATGATAACATGTAAGAGGCTTTTTATCCGAGAAAAGAGACATGTAGAAAGCTCTTCTCATATATTGTGTTTAATTTA